AAATCCCTGTCACACACCCAGGAAGACTCGGTCACCTTCTGTAGGGGTTTATATCCACAAGAGAGAACAGGCTGGGGAGTGACATCCTAGCTATAGGTCTCGGTTAATTGGGTAGATTTAACTTAAGAGCCCAGCTTACACCAGGCTCCTGATCCCAGTACCCGATGAACACTTCCCTGTGGGAACATGGAATGAGAACTGGAAATGAAAGCAAAAATTCCCTGCCAGTATTTCTCCTTCGATTTCAGATTTTCTGGCGCGTGGATAAACCTAACTGCCAGCCAGAATTTGGCCTCGTGTGCCTGACCTGTGAAGTCCGGCACTGCTTTCATTTGCAATAAAATACATCTGCTGTCCTTCCGCAGTCTGGAAAAGCACACCTTTTAAGTGATTTTCCCTATGTAATTTGAGTTCACTGAGCCATTTTTCCTGCTAGTGAAAATGGGCACGGCTCCAGGGCAGCTGATGGAGTTTCGTTCACTTAAATTCAGAATGGGACTCAGTATCTTTCAAACATAAATAAAGCCAAAGCACGTCACGGATTGAAACATGTCAATTAAAATAAAATTGAACTAAAAATAGTGTCTAAGTGAATAATAAATGTATTTGACTCATCTTTCCTGAAATTACCAGATTTTGCTCCTAAAATGTATTCTGCAGCAACACTGTAGCTATCTTTCCTCCTACAAAGAGAAGTGAATTTTGAGAAGGTATTTAAATTTTGGATTAAACCAGAGTAACAAATGCTGGGTGGAAAAAGTACATAGACAATACTTTACCATGGGCAAAAGTGCAGAGCATCAATAACAAAATATACTCCGTGCTACACTACCTTAACAATGTGCATTAATCTGCGTCTTCATTTGCACTGCTAAAGCATGCATTATTGGGCTAAGCAGCCACATAAATTAGCTGAAAATTCGTTTTCCCTTTCCCTCCTCCAAACCGTTCAGTTATTAAAATTCTAAAAACTAAGTCATCTTATGTTTTCCTATTAGAAAAACAAACCCCAAAAGCATGCCTGCAATAAAGTCATGTATTCTCCTCACAGGTGCCAAGCGCATCCTTGCTCCATCTGCATCCATAACACGGCTGGTTTCAGTATAGCTGCCACCGCGAACCATGCAACAGGCTCCTCGCCTCCATCAGGTTGTAATACAGGCTGTAATTAGAACAAAGGCTACAGATAACGAGCTTTTCTCATCACACTGCTTGTCGTGTTGCGTTTTCATTCTGGCATTTCCATTACAGCTAGAATTGTCCACGGATTTGATAAAACTAACAAAAATGGGCTCTGAAACCAGTCCTGAAAAGGCATGGGATGGACACGGCTCCACAGCAACCTCGGGTGCCGCCAAATACAGAATATCCCTTTCCATAGTCTCTTCTGCCGCTCCAGGTCTTTAACGGCGATGGGAGAAGCAGGTCCACCAGAGTTTCTCCCGCTGCGGCAGCTGATGATGCTCAGCAGCTTCTGCTGCTTAACATCAGTGTTGAAACTGCAGCAGACTTTAATGTCTGGGGCTAGGATCCTGAGGTTAGCAGGAGAGAGGAACAAGTCTCCTCTAACATATTTCTCAGGGCTGGGAAGGACAGAAAAACAACCACAGTCTGGACCTCAGCTTTAAACTCTGAGTTCTGCATTTCCTGAGGAAGAACCCGGTGCAATTAACTTCTTTCAGCACTTTGGTTTGGACTATAAATACATCCCGGGGAAATCAAAGGCTAGGGCAAGGCAGCACAAATGCCACAGAGCACTTTTTTCTACGGTTAATTGCAAACCCTTTGGCTACCGATGCCCTTCGGAATATTTTTCCTCTCGCCCTCAGTGAACTTATTCTCTGCACCTCTACCGAGGAAGACTTTAGAGCGCTGCCCGCTCTGGACTCCTCCAGAATTTAATGAAGTCATTTGGCCTCTTCCAAAGGACTCCTGACTTGATTCTGAATGCTGAGAAGGGGATTAATGAGCCACACGTGGAATTAGGGCAACGCGTAGTTAAAGCAAAGCATCCTTTCCTATCATCCCCTTAGAATAAAACAGGGACCAGTTTCAGCATTACTTCTACTCCTGGCACCACTAAGGTCAACGGAATTTTTGATCAGGCAAGGAATGGTCACTTATGTCTTGGACGTGTATGAGTCCGATTTTATTTAATTATTTGCTACGTACTCGGCCAGAATTGTCTTTGCCTGTCATTTTAATCGGGAGAGAGAGGTTCTTCCTTTGGCCACCCAGGCCACTTTTCCCGCAGGAGCAGATTCTTCTCAATCCTGCCAGTCACCTACCTACAGCAGTCTCTCTTTTCTTTCATCTCTCTGGAAACACCCATCCTACCGCAATGCTGTCATGGAAAAGTCTACCTCAGACTGAAAACTGCCTGCAAAAATAACATAAAGGATTGAAAGTTGGGTATTCAGGTGAATGGGATTTTCAAAGGCAGCTGAGGGATGTGAATGCCAGCTTTCAAGGCAATTCCGGAGAAGCAGCGTGCCCATCGTCCTGCAGCTCTAAAATCAAAGTATATAAAAAGCTAGGAAACACCTCAATCCCAGGGGGATTCGCTCTGCTCGAACACTGAATTGGCTCAATGCTTAGAGAGGCTCTTTCAGAGCATCTATCAGACTGAGTAGCCCTGTCGGCCAATTATAATTCTTTTTTTGCTGTATTTTGGAGCTTTGATCTCAAATTTGAATCTACCCACCCTATTAAACCCCACATGCTTGCATTCGAATGTGTCTCAGACATCGTGTGCATAATAAATTCATTGAGCCACGCACTTCGGTTAAGGAGCACTGATCCTAACAGATATTGCAAGGCATCAGAAAAGGTTAAAAAGCCTAAGATCCACGAAGGTTTTGTAGTTCCCTTTCCGTTACACCCGCTGCTATATTTAGCACTGTCTGACACCACGCACGATGACGCAGACAGCGGCAGTTGCATCCTCCTCCTCCTCCTCCAAAAGCAGCCCCATGCCCAGAAGGAGCCATCTTTACATAGGTACAGCTTCCTACGGGCCCAGCACGCTTTTTGTTGCAAACTCCCTTCTCTGTATAGGCCAAAACAGGTACGATTTTAACTCTAAGCCCCATCGTACAGTTTCTATTACAGTAAATGCTACAGTTTCTATTACAGTAAATGCAACTAATTAATAAGCTAAATTACGTGAATTATGAGCTTCAAGGTGAATCCCTTGTGAATTCAGATCTTCTCGATGTTCTGCGGCATTCTTTCAAGCCTACTGATATTTTCATTATAAATGCCAGCTCAGAGATGATTTTAAAAAAAAAGCCCAACAACTAAAGATGCTGGATTAAAAAAAAAAAAAAAAAAAAACCCCAAAAAAAACTTTGATTTTTTTCAAGCCTACTGATATTTTCATTATAAATGCCAGCTCAGAGATGATTTTAAAAAAAAAGCCCAACAACTAAACGTATGGATTAAAAAAAAAAAAAAAAAAAAAATCCAACAAGCAACTTTGATCTCTTCAAAGGACAGATCAGACGTCAAGGGCCTTGATTTACAAACACAAATATGTTTGCATTTGACGTATTATTACCTAGAGATCACAAGACCCTTCATATTCTCTTAGAGGGTTGACAAAGATTTAAAAAAATGCATATTATGCATCAGAGTTTAAGAGACTGAGACAAAGAAGGTTTTGGTTTACGTCAGTTGTTTCATACAAGTCTCACGGAGCAGCTCTGCTTTATAACTCATCCCACCCCTACGCGTTGAGTGGCATCAGGAACGGGACGAAATGATTTAACTAGCACACCAGCGTGCACGACAAAGCTTACCATCGTATAAATACAGCTTGTTGCCAGATTTCGGATTTGGATTTCACGATTGCAAACCCCGAACTGCAGGCGCGCCAACCCGTACGCAGCCACAGTGCAAGCAAAGAGGGGTCCTTACCAGAAGAAAACTCCCGCAGACCAGGCAACGGCCTAATTTATCATTTTACAATGGTGACTGTGATTAATTTCCAGTTGAAACACTTACTGAGAAGTAACAGAAAAGGAAGAAAATGGGTTTGAAAGCTAAGCAACGAAATTTCCGTATCAAAATCTGCATTTAAATTTCCAAAGGAAGACGAAGGCGGCTTGCACTACCTTTTCAGGACCGCTGCAGTCGTCCTAGCTTGCTGAGGTTGCAGGTGCTTCACTTCCAAGGAAATAAAGGCTGAGCCCATTTACTAAAAACGCAAACGGAACACAAAATAACAACCTACGGACAGAAAGCTGAGTAGATTTCATCAAAGAGGTAAGGATTTATTGAAAAGGAAATCATGTTTTAGAGAAAATGAAATACTTCTACAATCTTGATCTGCTATTTCACCTAGATTTTCATTGTAACATACTCCGTCCACGCAGTACAAACACACGCATGCAACAACATCAGCGTCTTCATTCATGTCGACACATTTCCTATGCATGATAATATAGACAAAATAATCCAGAGTCCTGAACGTCTCCATCTGCTGACAAGGTTTTCAAACCAAAGAAATATTTTCTCAGCCACTGTGACCAAGCTTTTCAGGAGCAAAATTTGAACCTGAATGTCCAAAACTTGGGTTTCAACTACATAGCCCAGTCCGAAGCTCAGCACAGTCAACGTGATTCTTACTCGCTGGCTGGCTGGCTCAGTCTCTCAGATCAAAGTTTTACCAGCACACGTCTTGATTGATTTTTCTTGCAGGAGTAAACCCGATGGTACGCGAGTACAATTACCCATACAGCCAGAGCCTTAGGACGAGGACATACACATTATAAAAATATGGTTGACTAGCATTTTAGAGAGAAATTAATTTCAAATTCCGTATTAGAAAAAAAGAAAACAGTGACCTTTACTTCCACTGCTAACAAAGTAGGCTTTAAGTGTTAAAATATTTATTTGAAGAAGTCTGTAGTGTGTAAATGTTTTCATTTCCCAACCTAATCCTTGGAATGAAATATTCGTATCTGAATCGTATTCATCTCTTCAGCTAAGTGGATCAGTCATGATGTAAACTGCACCCTCCAGCTCTTTTTCACACATGCTGGGTTTGAGATTTGTAAGTTTGGAGTACTAAATTCGGAGCTATTTCTGTTGGTAGTGTTGCGCCAACTAAACAAAGCTAAAGAGTGCAAGAGCACTTCTCTGGCTTTTGACGTTTCTATGTTCTGCTCCTGGGATACCTGAAAGCTTATCTGATTCAGGTTATTCCTGATCAAACTGCAAGTGAGGAGGTTTGTTACAGAACCACACCGGGTCAAGTTCTCTTCAAAAAACTGTTTATAGAGCTCTGCCACTTTTGTTTCCATGTACTTGTTGAGCACAGAGTTTGAAAGAGGCTCCTCACACAGCACGATACTCCTTTCTCCAGCTTCATCTCCAGACAGGGACTTTATACTCGGCTTTTCGGGATGCTCACGTAGAGGGGACGGACCTAGAGGAATGTCTACGGACAGTAACACAGGCCCGTCGGGAAGCTCCTCACACATATGGTCCAAAACACAACCCGAATCACACGTGTGGTCCCCCACGCGGTCTCCCCCAATGTGTAAGTCAGGGTAGTGTTGATAAATGCTGTTGCAGGACCAGGATCTATACAAATCCATCTGTTCGGTAGCTTGCTCTCGCTTGGGGATGTGTAAAGCTGCCGATACGGTTCCTCTAACAAGTGTTTTCTGATCGTTTGCAGGCACCTCTTGTACGGATCTCCACTGAGGACCGCTCCTGCGTTCCATTTTGCTGCTTTTAGCACAGATCTCATCCTGCTTCTCATGCCCATCAGCAAAGCCTTTAATTTTTGGGTTGTCTACAAGTTTCTGCCTCCAGATTTCCTCTTTATCCTTTCTGGATGCATGAGATTTGTGAGGCTTATCTTGATGACAGCTTTCCTTATATACGAGGCTAGTTAAGATGCCTTCTGCCAACATGATGACAAGTGTGAGTAACAGCCTAATCACCAGCGTCCCATGTAGTCCTGTGCGGGAAAGACAGACAGGCAGAATACCTCAAACTCATTTGGAAAAAGAGGAATAATAACCAAAAATGAGCAATGAACTTTTTATAAAGACTGTCTGTGATTTTTCTTTCTCTCTAGAATATTTTATTTTAGTAAACAGTAAACTGCCTGCTTTTCTACAGCTTTCACCTCTATACCGTGCCAACAAAAATCATTCTGAAGATATAGGAAGGGCATTAACCAGGTTCTTCATCTGTAATACCACTTCTGTTCCTCGGTCTCTCTTCTGCATTGTGGCTACTTGAGATAGATCACACCTATGAGCTGTAAAAATCAGCAAAATTATTTTACTTCTCTATATCACTACCATCAGTTGCAAATCAACTTTCTCTATTGAAAGACAACAATTTCTAAGAACTAAAGGGTGACATAGGAAGGAAATCAAGATCAAATTCAGACTTAGAGGTTGATTCTGAATTGGCCTGAGCCCTCCTGGGAGATGCCACGGAGCTTCAAAAGATGCCGACAGTTCTTCAAGTATAATAAAACTGCATCCAAAATGCAGTTCACACATACAAATGTTTTTAGAGTCCCTCTTAATGATGATTTTAAAAGACATAAATACTTAATTTGTCTTCCCCAGTAGTGGTGATGAGTAGTATGCCTGTGTATCTATAGGCTCCAGAGTTTTACTAAATGCACATGAATAATTAAAAGCCAGCCAACGTGCCTCAAAATAATCTACTACGTTTAATGATTCCTTATCATTCCTTTTCAATTCACCTACTGCTAAAGACAAAGGGAATCTTTCCATTTAGAGCCAAGTCTGACCTAAACTCAGTAAGGAAAAGATCATCACCACTCCTCTTACGGAGGAATGGGAAAGACGAACAAACAAAAACCCCTCTGTTCTTCAAACGGCTTTTTAATCTCCACATATTTCAAGTACCTTCACACACCTCTACCGGGCTCATGGCCTGAAACAGTGGGGAGAGGCAAGGGATGAGGCAGTTGTACTGAAGAGTACACGGCACTCTCCCAAAGAGCACGACGTACACCAAACACTCCACTTCTATCCCGGACAATTCAGGCTCGATACTTTTCACAGTGCTGGCAATTTACAGCCGCAGTAATGCCACGCAAGTCACTAGATAGCTCTCCACGCAAACGAAACCTCTGCAAATTTAACATGATATTTGATATACAGCCAGAGAGATCCTCCTCACTCTACTCATTTGCTTCTAACTACCAGCAACCAAACCATACACTCTGGCTTACTTGTTCTGCAATGAAGCTTGATACACTGGGTCGCCTCTTTTTTAATCCCAGTACTCCATCCAGAAAGCTATTCTAAAACTCCAGTTACTTGAGAGACAGAAATTTTTGACTTCCCTCCTAAATATACGCATTGCCGCAGTACAACCATTGGCTTTTTCCTTTTCTGGGGTTCTTTTTTTAGCTTAAATCACGCTGTTCCCTCCCCGCAGCTGAAGGTAACACTGGAATTGCGATACGCCTGCAAGTGAGACCGAAGCAGACGACAAAGACAGTACACCATGCCTTCTCCTGGCTACGTTGGCATAACTGTTTATCTACAGAATCATTTACACATGCAAAAAGCAGGACAACATTTTCTTAAGCACGTAAGGGACTTCGGAAACCCAGTGCCATTTTCAAGAGAGACAAGAGTACCTGGCAGTCTAAATCTCGCTGAACATCAACGGAATTTGGAATGCTGCATGCCGCATCTGCTTCTGAAAAACAGGACAGATCGTTACATGCTAAAACATTTTGCTCTATATGTACCCAGATCGTTACATGCTAAAACATTTTGCTCTATTGCTTTGAAAGCGCTCGTAGTGCAAATGTAAGAGCTAAAATACGGCAATCTTAGCACAATTGCTCTCTTTTAAATACAGTAAATGGTGCCTGCATTCTAGAACAAAGCATAAGGAAAAAAAAAAAAAAAGCACAAAAAGCCCAGACTTACCAACCGTAGGAGGGTAAGAGAGGCGGACAATCACATAGCCCACAACTCTCCTACTACAGCTGCTGTAAGAGAAGGGATTCTTACATATGCTTCTTCACTGCTGTCTGTGTGGAAAAAAACCTGACGTACACATGATTTAGTTCCCCACTTTTTTCTTTTAAAACAGAAGTGATCCCATTGGTAAAGTGCGCGGGTTTTGAGTACAAAGCGACAGCAAATCTAAAAGAGGATGTTAAAAAAAAAATGAATTGCGATGTTTCTGACTGTGGTGCAAGGCTGGCGAGTTGCTAACTCATCGTTTAAAACCAACAAAGACTACTACAGGATCAGGTGCCCGTACTGCACCAGGCTGTTCAGAATCGAAACTGAATTCCAAACACTTCCATCTACAGAAGGTCAGTTTTGTACTGTCACCCGCCTGACCTACAGAGGCGACGTTATCCACACCATTTCCCCTTTTGAAACAAACAGCCAAATTTATATATAGTCTTGTGACCTTCTTCTGGAGGGGAAGAAGTTGACAACTTCATTGCAACAAGATTTGGATGAAACGCCATTGGTCTATGAAACGCAGATCCGAGAAGCTGCCTCCTCGGAAGCAGTAGCCGTCACGCAGCTGTGGACAGTCTTGCTCGTCACTGATCAAAGGCACTTTCTCTAGGCTCAAAAATTGCCTCCGTCTCAAGGGCACGTCAGAGGTGCCGCCGCGGTGGTTCTGCCTCCTCGCCCAGGCTGGAAGCGAGCTCGTGCACCACGCCACGCCACTCCCCCAGCACTAGATCCAGGCCACAGCCAGCCCGAAGAGCTTTCGGCTGATGTCTTTTCTACGTTTCCTTTTTCTCAGAAGATTTAAAAAAAAAAATCAGAAGCTGAATCTCATCCAAGTGCTAGACAAAAGCTCTTAAATAGACACTGTTTAGTGTAATGATAGGAGCGAGACACAAATGTAAAATAAAACTAGAGTGTAAGGATAACATTACAGCAACATATTGATTACAACCCGGCATTCAGCATGTTTTGGCAGTAAAATAATGTTGTGCCTTAGAAATGAATTAATGTAAGGTTTGAAGTAACTATGACCATATAGGTCCAAGAGTGTCTTTAAAATTATTCCCCTTCCCGCCTCACCAGCTCTATTTCACAAAAGACTTCAGTTCTTACGCAGACAGAACGAAAGCTATTTTTATTCCCACTGAATTCATATAAAACTCATTTCATATTTACAGGCTGTTCAAAATGACTATTTTTAACCATCTTACATGACTAGTTCCTGCACAGTAGACGTGGCTGTGACTTCAACAGAGTGCTCCGGCCCTCGGACTTGGAGGGGACCAAAGCTCGGAGCAAAGAGAGGGGTTCAAATTCCACGTAGTTGTAAACCTTGCCTCCTTCACCGAGCTTACAATCGGCGCCAGCCGCAGCCGCGGGTTTTGTGCAGCAGTTTCAACAAAACACAAAAGTAACGGAGAGGGAGGGAGGGAGGAAGAAAGAAATCAAGTCAGGCAATTAGTCTTGAGTGATTAAAAACAAGTCACCTTTCATTTCAGTTATACTCGGGTGTCAAATGCATCAATATTCAAGGAAGGTAATAACTTTTGATCAATATGATCTTACCAAAAAAACCCCTTATATTTACAAAAATAAAATCAGAACAAGACAAAACCAAAGTTATTTCAGAAGCTGAAAACAGACTGCAGTTAGAATAAACAGCCAGCAAGACAAGTAGGTCTTAATCCCGAGGGTAACCTTACAGCAGAACGTACAAGGAAAAATAAATGACTGCCTCATTCATATATGGAAAAAATAAATAATACCGTATTTATCACATTACATTAACTATAGCAGCACATACACAAAAGTCCCTCATTTCAGCCCTGTGTATGTATTTTATGCGCCTATACGCGCGAAATGGCGGTCGGCTGCGGTAACCGGGTTTTTTCCACGCACAGCTGTTGCGAGCCTTTCGTTATCCATTTCAGCCAGCAGCCCCGCTCCAGCAGCCCCAGCTTCCCGGGGCTTTCGGCGGCACCTTCCCGCACAGCAGCTCCGCGGCCCCCCGAGGGCGGGGACGCC